TAATCTCTATAAATTATCCCTAACTTTTAATTTTTAAGCTTAATTTCTATTTAAAATTCACTTTTATAGAAGGTACTATTTGGTCATGGACCATTATTGGCGGACAGTCCATATAGTTGGGATTATACAAAAATAATCAATAGTTGGGATTATTGTTAGCGGACCGGTAATAGTTGGGATTATTATTTTCAATTTTTCCTAAATAATAATAAAAATAATAATAAAATATGGTCTGATCTGGTCTGTTTTTGTCTGATCTGCTCTGGTCTTGTCTATTCTGGTCTGGGACGAATTACAGTCTAAAAACAACCTTAGTACTACGTACGGGGTATTATTTAGTCTAAATACGTTTCTTGTTGGAGTAAAATAAACATTCGTCTAAACATTGTTAATCAGCACGTTTGTTAACTTGATTCATGTTTTACTCCTATGATTGACAATTTGTTTTGGGGAGATATCCCAAAATATGACTAAATAGAATTTGGAATTCCAAAATAGGACTACCGTATTTTTTTCCCCGAAATAGGACTAAGATGTGAGTATTTACTGTTATCTATAGTCATGACTGTCACATAGTTGCAGTAATATGCATTCAACATAGCAGTATATATTATAATTAGTGGCAATATTTTTTTAATCATGGCAGCATTTTTCAATCATGACAGTAACAACTCCTATTTCGGGAAGAAAAACATAGTGATACTATTTTAGAATTTCCTTTGTTGTTTTAATGCCTTGATTTGCACAAATGTAGACGTACGTTTGAGCAGTGGCGGAACTAGGGGGGCGAGCCGGTGCTGCCGCCCCCCGTTCGCCGGAGATGGTGGTGTATATATATGTATATATGTATGTACAGCCCCGTCTCAAAATAATGTAATAAATATACACCGACCTGTTTTGTAATTAATAGTTTAGGTAGCAGAGATGGTAGAACTTCGCTTTAGCTTTCTTACATATTATAAATTGGAAAAATAAAAATGTATAATAAAAGTAAAAGAAATGTAGTTTAATGTTTTAATTTTGGAAAAAATAAAAGAGATGGTAGAACTTCGCTTTTAGTTTTAATTTTGGAAAAAATAATTAAAATACCCCAAAGTTTGATGGGATGTGAGATAAACACCCCGAACTTTCATATGTAATTTAAATACCCCAAAATTTATATAAAAAGTTATTTTAACACCATGGTTATGTATGATATCTTTCAAAAATGTAAATATATGGTGTTAAATGCATAATTTAAAATAGAAAATTGAAAACATTAGAATTATATATAGTGGTGGGTAATACTATTTATTTTACTATGGAAGTTTAGAATGTTAATTGTATCTTTATGAATACTAAAAATTATCAAATTATGAAGATGGTGCTAAAATAACTTTTATATAAAGTTTGGGGTATTTAAATTACATATGCAAGTTTGGAGTGTTTATCTCACACCCCTTCAAAGTTTGGGGTATTTTAATTATTTTCCCCTTTAATTTTTTCCTATCGCACTACATTTCTTTTACTTTTATTATACATTTTTATTTTTCCAATTTATAATATTTAACTTTTTTTACTTTTTCGAATATTGACATGTTATTTACATTTTCTGTTTAGTGCAATGACTATAAAGTTTTAACTTAACATAACTATTTATTCTTTGCTTTAATACAAATATGCCAAAACTTCTTGTTAATATTTGAAATATGCGACTTTAATTACATGTGTATAATTAAATTTATTTAATAAATTTGCATAAATAAAACAATTAATATCCTTTTAAAAAACAAATAACCTAGAAACAACGTTAAATTGAAAAGAGTAAAACAAAATTATTATTTTCTTGATAAGTTAGTAACTTACATATACTCCGTATGGGAGTTTTAATTTATCTTCCTCTATTTGTTTAGCTATATTTCTATTTAAACCTTGATATTTAAAACGAGCGTATTAAAAACGAATATAGTAGAGATTATATATCTTTCCAACTCGATGATTTGATTTTTTTTCGCCCCCCTCAATTTTTGTTCTGGTTCCGCCACTGCGTTTGAGCTGATTAATCTGTATGGTCTCTATACGATTTCTAGCTTCGTCCCACACTATACGTATAACCTACAAACTAACATCTTGGTGCGCGCTGTTGGGATGCTTTCATGCTAAATAGCTTAGCTAGCTGCTGCACGAACGTACTTACTACACGCATAATATATAATTAAATTAGAAGAGGCCTCATCATACTGTAAAAATGAGAACAATAAATTCTAGTTATAAGTTAACACTGAACTTTTGGTCGAATGACTAGTTGCATATTACAATCCAAGCACAGCCATTAAGAGCAATTAGTGGAAATTATTAATTTGAGACTTTTCATATTAAGCACGGTTCTTAGAGGATAATTGTTGTATTCATTTGAATCATATATTAATCTCCTAATATGATATGAACCAATTTTTGTCGATTGGTCATGTATTCATGTAACTCTTCATCACAGGGTTCTTGCCATCTTTGTGGGATTTTGATCGACCACTTCCCTAGCTTGCGACTATCAGGCTCTCTTCAACATTGACATATTTTGATATCTGATATCCAAGTTTTAGCCACTTTTCGCACTCTTCTATAAGTTTCGGACCACTTTATCATTGTCACCTTAACAATGCTTTCTAGCAATCTATTTGCCATATCCAACTTATCTCAAAGGGACACACTTTCCTTAGTGGTGGCAGTTGTAACCGCTCAATTTTCCAACCACCATTAACAGAATTTTCCTTCAGTGAATTGTCATCATGCCCTTCCTGACTTCGACCGTGACTCTCCGGGCTGATCCTGACTCAGCACCGCGCACTATATATCTTGAACCACCTGGAAGCGACCTAGAGCTTTTCTTGGTTTGCTTGGACCATCCTCATTTCCTTTGCGTCCAGCTGCCCAATTCAAATTTATCAGAGAAGTGAGAGAACCAATCAACCTCAAACTCCTCTGAACCATCCTTGACCCAGGCCAACTGTTACAAGACCATGTCATGTTATTTTGACAACTACCATGTGCTAATCATGAACCACTGCTAGTTCAAGGTCAAACTTGATGTGTTCACGATCCTCCAATTTTGTCGGTCTCACAAAAAGTTGAAGCACAGTGTTACCATCAAAATAGATCAACTTCAATATGTTGTGTGCCATGTTCTTGGCAATGTTAATATTCTAAAGTTAGAATACAAGTGTTAATATGATTATACCTATGCAACTTTGAAAGCGACAAAGCGTAAATGTGACATTGTTAAAAGTGAAAATGTTTACATTCTGTGAATGCACAAATGTGAATGTTTAATCATTGTGCATGGTGATATTTAGTATGCAAGTATTTGCCAGTAGTAGTTATGTGATAAGTGCATTTTGCTTGTGCTAGTATACTCAAATTTGGTGGCATTCGCGGTTGAACTATGCAGAGGCGGCTTTGAGGGCAGTTGGGCCAGGCAATTGCCTTGGGCCTCAACTACCAAGGGGGCCTCCAAAAAATTCTACTCCGGTATTAGTATTAGGTGTTATTCGCAGAACGTCAATACACCAAGCGGCAACTGCAAGCAGAAATCAGCTTTATAGTTCACTTTTGACTATCCATACTTCATCAAAGTTGTAGCTAATGAAGTCTTCTATCCAACACAACTTGCAAAACTGGATTTGAATCATCCAATAAAAATATATGAATAAAATGGTGGAAGGTCGCATTCTGAAATCTCAACAGAGATTGTCTGACTTCATCGTCTGTTTTCACCTTTCTTCTCTCAGATTCTCACAATGGTGTCTTCATATGATTTGTAGCCCTTGAAGTTGGCTTTCATATGAAACTTGAATCATGTTTTTTGGATGTTCCTAAGAAAAGATATGCTTGAACGATTGACTGAACGTCATCCTGACCGTTGTTTTCAAGCTCTATTCGTCTTCTTTTGATCCCGTAGCCAATTCTAGAGCTCTTTTGTCTTCAAAACTTTGTCTTTAACACCTCAATGATCTCCAATGCTCCTAATCAACTCTAAAATGCTTCTCAACTCGTCCCTATTGCTTCTCAAACACCGGTGTCAAGCTCAAATTCCCTGATTTTGACTCCAAAAATACCAAAACTCGAACCAACGGCCGGTAAATATGACTTGAGCTTAAAATTGAGACTTATGACACCTTAAAGTTAGGAAAAAACTATCAAAAGCCGATCTCAACACGCATCAACGTCCAACACAAACCGCTAATCGGCTACTGTATATATGCCTCACTGCCCGCCGTCGGCATGAGTCCTTGGTTAGTGAATCAACTAAGACTCTTCAGCTCTTCTCTCTGAGTCTCGTTCTTGAAGTCTCTTAATACTTTTACAAGTACAAGTTTGCCTTGTGTTTTGAATAAGTTTGCATTTTAAAATTTATCCTTTTGAATATTACAAACATTATATCGTGGACTTTGAATTTGTTTTTTTTATAAGGCGATTTTTATTTAATTTATCTGATTTTAAAAGTGATTTGTACATAGTAAATATTTTTCGTCTGGGGCCTCCAAAATGCTCAAGCCGCCTCTGGAACTATGGATAAACCAGTCCATATTCTTGTATTTTTGCCTTATTTTAGTGTGTATAGAGATTCAATGCTCATAGGACATCATTCGAATGTGTTGTGAATATTTAAATGTTTTTGTTAATCATAAATTATCAAAGGAAATTGGAAGAGAAACAAATGGTTATGAATATGAGAGATTACCACTCGCGTGAAAATGATGACAATAGGATTAAATGATTCAAGAACATATTGATTATTGAAGTATTAATCAATTAATAGCATCACTAAGGATGTTTTTACTTGGACTGATTTTTTTTTATCTAATCTGACAATCTGATCTGGTCTAAACTAGTTTAGTAAACGACTGATCTTTGTGTATTTTACAACTGCCGAAGTTTGATCTTGTCTGATTTGGGGCCGAAATAAATCCAAGTAAAAACATCCTATCATTCCTATGCAAACAAAGCCACTCATACGCATTGTTTTTCAAACTTGATTGATTAGTAGTATACAATTTCCCTTACAATTAGAACTCTCTGCGTTGTGGAATTCAATATCTTTTTCCATGTTCTAATTCAGGTCCGTCTGTTCAGGTCCGTCTGTTTCAAGTTTGACACACTCTGGGCTCTATAACTGTAGCAAGTACCACTAAATCCAGCTTCAGTCACAAGCCGGATCTAGTCTGATTCTGAATTGGCATATTAAAAGAACGAAACCAGCCAATTTTGGGATTTATGCTCGATTTGAACCAGTTCTGGGTAACAGTTGGAGTCCAGTTCTCCTATTCAGGCATTCCAGTTCCGGTCATTAAACGCTCAATTCTGGGTTCCGGAGCTGGTCTATCCCTACTTGTAGGATAACTTCTGGGCCATACACTATGGATGCTAGTGCTAAATGAAAACAAGGTGTTGACAAAATAATTATATTTATATTTAGAGTGGGAGAAGGGAAGCAGGAACTTCAATGATGTTAAAGACCTAATCCCATTTCTAGAAATAAAAGTCAATGTTATTAATCAATGGCCATGGGAGTGATGCGCTTTTTTGCGGCCTTGAAGGTCACTTCAGTAGTTGTAGCTGCAGAAGTGGACTCCCGGTCAACCGTCTGTTCTTCAACTTTTCTACTTTCTACAGTTCTACCACAGGGGGGAGTGGAGTGCTCCACTGTTAATTCATCAATATGATCGTCATTGACTTGACCATTGAGAACATTCTTTCCTTCTATAAATGCAATCCAGTTTTTCAGAGGATATATAAAATACGGAGTATTCATTACTTCCAATGTGTGAAATAAAAAGGCGAGTGATAAATAAAATGCGGTATATAACACACCTGATGTGGCAAAAGGAGTTCCCAGTTCTTCATTTTCAAACTCCAAGAGAGTGCAGTAACCATCTTGTGAAGACAAAGCTAGAAATTTCCCAGTTGGTGACCTTAGCAACCAAAGATCAAACAGATTAATTATCAGAGTTAAATGCACTGAAGGGTGAAACTAAGCTACGCTTTACAGGTTACCATGCAATGTCAGTTATGGCTGCATAATGAATTCCAGCTATGACTGCTATTGGTTCAACACCTTCCGTATCGTATATGTATATGGAATTCAAAGTGGCAACAGCAAAAACAAGGCGATGCGGAAGCTTGAATAATGTAGCTGCAGATGCAAGACAAATTCATGTTCTGAAATAATAATTATTATTAAAAATATATAAAAGAAGATTACTGAATCATTTTTATCTTAAAAAGAAAACACAGATGCTGAAACTAACATGAAGAAGAAGTTAAACCCCGCAAGTTATAAGCCACAGGACAGAAACGTGTTGCAACAACAGGCTTGCTTGCACCAGGAAGCATCAAAGCAGGTCTGTACATGGAAGAAGTGTAAGTGAAACATGAAAGTAACTAGAATATGACTTTAAAGAAAGAAAGAATGTTCTGGTTGATCAAGTCAACCGTGATCATATTCTGGTTACACAAGCATGTACATGTTACATTCGTTATTAAATGACTATCCATTAACAATGGTTCTCCATTTAACAAGCCAATAAGTAAAACATCTTAGAATGACAAAGTTTGACTCCCATTTTTCACTTTCCTTAGTTACTTTTAATAACTAACAATCAATGGGGTTATGTTTATCAATTTATGATGTAATCAATTATCACCTTAAAATCATAACTTTTACTTAATGGACAGTTATTTGAAAATGGATGAGTATATGTTAAGAAAGTAATTTGGCATGAACGCAAGAGAACACGACTTGCCTTGAAAGATCATTTCTAGAAAATATAAAAGCAGTATTTGTTGGTGCAGAAGCTGAGGAACTTTTGTAAGAGCCTGAAAAGGGCAAAGAACTGTTTCATTCCTCTGAAATTCAAAATCATAAAGTGCAGATGGAGCTGCATAACTGAGTCAATGTGAAGAGAGAGAAATTGCTTAACTTTAGGGGGGAAGTATACCTGCGGGTACAAGTAAAAATGATCCATCAGGTGACCAAGACAATCTTCGGAAGAATGATGGAAGTGTCTCGTCAAGAAAAAGATGGCTTTTAGCAGACTGCACTCAATGGAATAGAGAAGTTCATTACTCATAAGTATCTATTACTCTCTATGTCCCGCCAAAGAAAGTTATGTTTAGGAGCTTTTTATTGTCCCGATAAAAAACCTGATTTAGAAGTCAACTCACATTTTCAGTTCAACTTTATGTAAAGCATAGCAGCAAATGTTTTTAGTCAATTGCTCCAAACAGTCGTTGAAACACATTTTAAGGGTTTAAGTAACCGATAATAATTTCTAAAGCTTGTACAGTTAAGTTGACTAATAGACTTGTAAATTACCGAAACGGGGCTGTTCTGGGACGGAGGAAATGGTATTAATCAAGAGTATAAAATGAATTTCTACCTTAGCCTCATCTACTGTCTGTGGTTCTATCTTGGCTACAACGTGCTGACAAACAAAACTCATCTTCTCAATTCCTTTAGTTTTAGATGGTTTGTTTATGTAAATACGACATGATCTATCTGAGCTGAGTGATGCAGCATACTTGGACAATGGGTCCCAAGCAACTCCTTGAACATAGTGGAAGTGTCCGTCCAAAATCTGATGAACACAACCTAGGGAAACAAAATGCAGGTAGGTACTCAACATTATTCATAGAGCCCTATAGAACAAACTAAAATTCATGTTGTTAACTCACCTTTGTTTGCATCCCATATGATGCAAGAGTTATCAACAGATCCAGAAATCAGATATGAACCATCCTTAGACCATTCCAAGTCTAATACATCCTTACGATGAAACCTACAAAGCACAAGACTCTAGGTTTCATTACTAATGCCACCAGATTTGAAGACACCAATGCCTACTAATTGTGGTGTGATAACCAAGCTGCTATACACATAGTGAATAATCTTGTATTTCATGAGAGAACAAAATATATTGAGGTTGATTGTCATTTTATTCGAGCAGAAGGGATTGATCTCTACCGAATATTTGAAGACCGGAGAACAACTTGGAGATTTATTCACGAAAGCACTAAAAGGGATTCAAGTTGATAATTTATGAAACAAGTTGGGCATGATAAATATATATATATGTTCCAACTTAAGGGGGTCTGGGGGTGTGAGATATATTACAATGAATGCATGAGTATGTTTTAGAATATTTAGGAATATACTCTAGAATATTATTATGGTATAGAATCTAATAGGAATATTATATCTTGTAATATACATTTATAGGGACACACCCTTCAATAAACATACAAAATGAAACTTCTCTCTATCTTCAATATTATTCTAGGTTATAGTTCAACATATATCAAAATATAGATTAAGAGCTCTCCAAATCCTTCCCCTGGAAAACCCTCTATCCAAACAGACCCTTAAAGACGAATGTGACTTGCAATAGATGAACTCTAAGATAGAGTGCTGCCGTATAAGCCTGTTCATACTTAATGAGTTCGGTGAATAATTGATTATTTGTATCTCACTGGGTCACTGAACAAAAACAAGACCTGCTAACGATTGAATTTATAAATACATGAGACCAGAATAACTCTGATCATCACACTGCAAGTCTGCAACGACTGATCATAAAAATCAGTCAATAAAACACTAGAAATTTCTCCGAGAGAAGCAAGTGGAAAAATACATGACTTTAAATCAGTCTTACGATAATGTCTTCAGGACTTTCCATGCTTCACCACCATCTGCTGAATGCAACTTCCACAACAAAAGCTCACCACCTATATCATGAGCAATTCAATTTTAAATACAAAGTAGAATAGAAAGGGGGAAACAAGACACTGTCAAGACTTCTTGTTGAAGGTATTGATTAAGTTCATACCATCTGCACCAGAAGCCAAATGTTCGCCTGCACTTATTGAAGGGAAACATAAGTTAAGGGTAGATCGGCAAAAGAATAACACAGATAGCTTCAAAACTATGGCTATGTTTGGTAAATGACTTATCAGCCATCTTCTAACTGGTTTGACCTATTTTTGTTGTCTGATTAGACAAATCAGCTAATAATATGCTTGGTAAATGGTTTTTTAGATGAACCTGTTGAGTCTAAAAAGCCAAAAAATGGAAGGTAGCAAAAGGCAGGGGGGAGCGTTCTTTTTTCAATAAACTATTTCTACTTATTCCCAAAAGGCACATGGCTCTAACATAACACCACTTGTACCATTACCTTTCATTTAGAGTTACAATGCATTGTTTTGCCTTTTTTCTCTTTTTTATTTCATTCTTTTTGGTTATGCTTTTCTAAATAATAATTATTTCATATAAAACTTGTTTAACCAATCTCTTTAAATAAATATTAGATGCTTAACTAATATTTTATATTACGGAGTACTAGTATTATTTATGTCCTCTATCTTGAATTAATGTTAACATTTCAGTTTCAGATGATTGACTGGTTAGTTAACATCTTTCTGACAATACTTAAATGATATCAAGAATTAAGTTACATATTCAATGTCTTATTGAAACAAAAAAATGAATTATAAATTCTGAAAGTGATGAATATTAGACATATCATGGCAAATGACAGTCATTTTTGAACAGCCAATTTTACCAAACAATTGTATATAGTAAGCTAATATAGCAGCAGTTCAAAGCAGTTAACACAACCCTCTAACAGCAACAGCTGATTGCCAAACAAATCATGCATGTTCTAAGTGGTTTAGATTTCAGGGTGGACACTGCGGCACAAGATGTACCTTACCCGAAGGAGAAAAGCGAAGCACATTTATGGCAGAACTGTGGTAAGTGAGGCTAGTCTTGTATGCAACTCCGGGAGCTTTCTTTGGGTCTTCACTCAAGCTGATTGTCCACAGCTGAGAATTTCATTTCAAAATATACAAAAGGTTATCCAAATTCTTTTCTGAAAACAGCTTTTTCATCTAAAATCGCCAGGACTGACAAAACCCGACATTCTAAGAACCTCATTTCTCATCATAAGCGGGTCTCATAGATATTTATCAAAACTTTCTTCCAGAAATTCACTAACCAAATGTATAGTTTGACCATTGTAAGTTAAAACTATGCATAATTTGGTTAGTAGGTTAAGCGGTTGAAATTGAGTTAGTCCAAATTGAAAGAACAATAGAAAACCTTGATCTCACAATCGGCCCCGCCGGTGGCTAGGATGCCGGTGACAGGGTTGATATCTAGCGTCAAAACCGGCTTAGTATCGTGCCAATTAATCTGAACTGCGCCGCCTCTCATCTTTTCCGCAAAATCTTAAATTTAACTTCACAGTTCCTAATTATGCTACAAGAACGCTAGGTGAATACGAAGAACGGGATTAAAGTGAACAATTGGGAATTTGGGATTTAGGGTTTAGATGGCTAAGAAAATAGGAAAGGTAAATGGCACATTGGCGGGAAATACACCCTCATTGAAAAACCTACCCAAGACCCGAAAATAAGCCCGATCCAATCAGATAATTGAAATTGGTCCAAAACCAATGGATGATCATGTTTTGTTAGAACTAGATTCTCACATGTGCGATGCACGAATGAAAATTTACCAATATGTGATTAAAAGTCTATTATAAAAACGTATAAGTAATTGAGCTCAGAATAAATTGGTAAGTACTCCGTAATATAATAAATGTTCGTAGTTAAAGAGAGATTGAAACATTTTCGAATAATGGAAAATGTAAATATTATAAAAGAGATATAACATTTGAAATTACAAAGTGGTAAGTAAAATAATAAGTATTCAAAGTGAAACTACAAATTCTGATAAACTTCTTTGTAAACAACATTAGTAGTATAATCGATCTATTGATCATCCTCATCACAGATCAATATTTTCAACCATTTGCGATTGATAACCACACGTAACAGAGCATATGTCGATTCAATATCACAATGAAACTACAAATCCTGATAGACTTGTTTGTAAACAACATTAGTAGCATGTGTCGATTGATAACCGCACAAACTCTTTTTTCTTAATAACCGCACCACCTCCTCATGTTTCAATGTTAGTGTCACGGGGGAAGTGATAATAATTATTTATATAATACTCCCTCCGTTCTGGAATAGGTGGGAGTATAGCCTTTGGCACAACATTTAAGAAGGAATTAATAGGGGTGGGACAAAAGGTGTAGTGTGTTGTGTGTAAAGGTAAAAGTAGGAAAGGGAATGAAAAGGTAGGAAAAAGAATGACGGTAAATGAGTATATTTATTGAAAAAACTTACCAAAAGTGGAAAGAGAGACAACTAATAGAGAACATTCCAAAATGGAAAGAGGACCAAGTATTAGAGAACGGAGGGAGTACATAAAACCAATGATATAAATTTAACCACCATATGTAAACAATATTTTACGTATAGTTTAGTACTCCGTATATGTTTATAATTGTATTGTAAACGTAATACTCCATAATTTTTATTTCAATACTTTAGGTTTTACTTCATATAAAATATCGACAACTCATTATTTAAAACACCCTTAAATTAAAATACTTTTTATGTCAATTTTACTTGATCCAGCCCAACGATTAAAGGCATGCTGAAGTACCCATTATTTATTCTTACCCACTAAGTATAACCTAGCAAACCATTATATGAGCTTCCTTACCCACTAATTCTCATTTTTCAAAGGCCAGATGGTTATTTTTAAATGGCATAATCTATTTCAAAATTCAAACGATCCAATTTAGTGAAGTCAAAATACCCACATCTTAATAAATTAAAGTTTTAATCAGCCAAGCCCAAAAATATACATTAGATCTATCCAGACAAACAACTCAAACCTAGCACACCATATATAAACTCTGCTTCCTCCTTCGACCAGTTTATTCGTACATCTATCCAAACTCCGTTCCCCCCTTCGACCTCCTCGTTATCCGTACATCCATCCAGTCTTCCTCTTTTTTCATCCCATTTCTTTGTTAAGCCTTTGTTCTGTCGCTCGCCATACCTTTGTTTAGACATATCATCGTCGATTATTGATCCGTAATCGTCATTTGCTCAAGGACAATGGTATCGTCCGATGTTCGCTTATTCGAACATTCAAATGATTACGATAGCTGATGTAAATTCAATGGACCTTAGACTCTGTCTACCATCTGTTCGCAATTTTGGTATATCACATACATCTTCGTCAGTTTATTGCTGTCTTGAACGGTTATGTGGTTGAATTTCTTTATCATTTTTTTGTGCATTGCACTTCTCATATTGACTATTTAGATGTATTTTCATACGAATTTACAATCAAATGCATGTTTAACAGCTTAATTTTGTAGGCTAAATCTGTTTTTTTAGTAAAAAAACTCTTTAATAGATTTATTTACTTAACTCAACCTATATTTTTTCTGCGTAGGGAAAACGTAAATCTACTCAGATCTATGAATATTATGCACATGAAAATGGTATTGTGTTTTTAAATGCGAAAAGTTGTGAAATTATCGATTGAACTAAGCTTGAATCTATTTCGGGTAGTTTTTAAGTAATTATATTTTTAAAAGGCCACAATAGCAGAGTTTATTTTTAAAAGGTCAGTGCTACACCTTTTCTATCTGAAAAGTATTTACCTGAAATAAAATTAACTTAAAGTGACATTTAAATTTATGGATTAGAGTAATATCTTGTAAATTGAACTAGTTAAAGTACTTAAATCATAACCACAAAGCTTTTATTTTTAAAATGTGTGAAACCTTGTACCATCTGAAATGTGCTTTGAACCGGATACACTTTAAAGATTGCATTTATGACTAAGTTCTGCTAAACATTATATTTGAATTTCTGAATTTGAGTAATAGGTTTTGGGGAAAATCGCACATATCATCCTCCAATTATCCACCATATTGAAATCTCAGACCTGTGTTTCAGATTTGTTAAATGTCACCCCTGAGTTGTCAGAATAATTATAAATGTCACCTCTGCCATTATAAATATTACAAACTCTGTCTGTTTTTCGTTTTTTCAGGACTAAACTCTTCATTTCGCTTCCTTTTCGTTTAAAGCCCTAATTCGAATTATCCCCAACCCTTTACCACGCTTATCCTTCAAAAATTCAAATGCAATGCTTAATCCTTTGCTTTGAGTTTTTTCCGCCAAGTTTCAACCGCACATGGCGTTCAAACAGTGAATGTATATTGAGGCCAAGATTCACCTTTCAAGGTCGAAGCTGTGACAGAGGAAAGAAAGATGACCACTCAAAGACTCAATGGGTTAAATGTGACTCCAAAGTGTAAGTACGCAAACCAAACTTCTTTATTGTTAATGGGAAAGCCAATGACATATATGGGTAATATAGTATGGATATTGTTCTTCTTTATAGACGAAGAACGGGCGATGGAAGACAACTCTTCTAAACTCCAAACGGCTGAAGAACGGACCAATGAAGAGAGCTTTTGAATCAGGGGGCGAAAAAAGAACGGGAAGAACGCCTGAAGAGCTTTTCATTCCCAAGCAACGGACGAAGTATGGTTTGTGTTAAATTAAGGGCTTTATTAAACGAAAATGAAGCGAAATGAAGAGTTTAACCCTGAAAAAAACGAAAGAGAGATGGAGTTTGTAATGTTTATAACGGCAAGGGTGACATTTATAATTATTCCGACAACTCGAGGGTGACATTTAACAAACCTGAAACACGAGTCTGGGATTTAAATTAAAGTGTTTATACATCAAACCCTTCAACCCTCTCTGAAATGCTTTAATAGATGTTTTGGTTGTAGCTGATTTTTTTTTTGGGTTGTAGCTGATAAATGAGTTCATTAGCAGAGTGAAAATGCATGTAAGTCTCCCTATATGTAGTTAGAATGCAAAGACGGGTAATAACCAATGGTAAGTAAACTTTTTCTATGAGCAATGATGATCGTGACATTTGTATGCTCTCATTTAATTTGAGCAGCCATTTTAACCATCCTACGATTAAAATGGAAGTCTATACCTGATAGTATCTTGCTTTGTCTAGATGAGTGATTATGGAGGATTGTAATTCATTTAATACATGTCTTAATATTGTTTCTATTATTACTAAAATAATATAATAAAAGGGAAAATTGCACATATCGTCCCCCAATTATCCACCATATTGAAATTCTAGACCTGTGTTTTAGGTTTGTTAAATGTCAACCCGAGTTGTCAGAATAATTATAAATGTCACCCCTGCCGTTATAAATATTACAAACTCCGTTTGTTTTTCTATTTTTCAGGGTTAAACTTGTCATTCCGCTTCCTTGTCGTTTAAAGCCCTAATTCGAATTATCCCCAACCCTTTACCACACTTATCCTTCCAAAATTCAAATGCAAAGATTAATCCTTTGCTCTGAGTTTTTGTCTGCCAAGTTTCAACCGCACATGGCGTTCGAACAGTGAACGTATATTGAGGTCGAGATTCACCTTTCAAGGTCGAAGCTGTGACAGAGGAAAGAAAGATGACCAGTCGAAGACTCAATGGGTTAAAAGCGACTCCAAAGTGTAAGTACGCAAACCAAACTTCTTTATTGTTCTTCTTTATAGATGAAGAACGGGCGATGGAAGACAGCTCTTCTAAACTCCAAACGGCTGAAGAACAAACCAATGAAGAGAGCTTTTGAATCAGAGCGAAGGAAGAACGGGAAGAACGTCTGAAGACTGAAGAGCTTTTCATTCCCAAGCAACGGACGAAGTATGGTTTGTATTCGATTAAGGGCTTTATTAAATGAAAGGAAGTGAAATGATGAGTTTAACCCTAAAAAAATGAAAGAGAGACGGAGTTTGTAATATTTATAAAGGCATGGGTGACATTTATAATTATTCTGACAACTCGGGGTGACATTTAATAAACCTGAAACATGGGTCTGGGATTTCAATATGGTGGATAATTGGGGGACGAAATGTGCGATTTTCCCTATAATAAAATGATACAATGGTTTTCACATGTTTTTGAATAGTGAGTTATATATATTTAAGGTTATGAAAAAGATTTCATTTGTTATATTTATAATTACTAACATTAAGACAATCTTTTCATATTATATAAATATATGCTTTATTCATAGAATACAAATATATAGACATACATAATGATCAAAGTAAGGTTGAGCAAACATTTTTTATAATAGATGAAATAGATGAAATCCAATGCTGCATAATTAATATGTATGAGAATAGTATTGATTAAGGCATTAAACTTACGGTTTTTCAAATATGTGTTTTTCAAAAATTGTGAAACATAACACTTGGAGCTGAAGGTTCTGTAATATTGTAATTAACATTTTCTTATTCTAGAATCTTATTGACCATAAATCTTGTTTTGCATGCTAGTTGTGGCATTCGTAGCTGTGAGCGGGATTTTCAGAAAATACTTGACCTGCAAAAAGTATTTGACAATTAGTTAAGAGATCTAAACGGACGTTGTTGACTTTTTGCTTGAATGCTTATATCTTACAATGATAATAGTGACATATATAAGAAAAACTTCTATCTT